GCAAAATAAGTAGGCAATACTTTCTAATAAAAGGTAACAGAAACTGTTATGGGTATACCTTGGGGGAATAAAATTCTAAGACATAGTGAACGGCGGAAAGTTTGGCCGCAGACGAAGATAAATCTATGGCCGTTTTAATTTCTTACTTTTTTGTTTCTATGGTCCTGAAAAGGGAAAACTGATCGGGCCGTAAAAGAATATTATAAATGGACTTATTACTTCCTGATTCTAATCCATTCTGGCACCATTCAGACCATACTATTAGTTAAGATATGTTTTTGAACCATCTGTTGTCGAAAGAGTTATGGATTTATGCCACTCCTGCTCTCCCTCCTAGATCTCTTCCAAAGCCTATAACGTAGCTATCTTAACTCTTTTTAAAAACTTTCAAGCGACATTATGCTCGGATGTGTTCAGAACATATTATTATAGAGAACTTCAAGAACTAGTTCGCCAAAAAAGTGTAAAGATACTCGTAGCACAACTTTGGCAAGTAATTTTGTGTTTGTGGTTTGTCAGTATAACTATGTACTAACATTTCTACTGCTGGCCATGGCCTAATGACTTGCCACTTTTGAAGTTGGTCGGAAGCGCGCGGTGCGCCAAAGTTTAAAGTTACTTAATTAGGCGGCGCGCAGGCAACACATATCCATACATGTGTCTATGATATTTGTGGCCCATGTTGACAGGCGAAGGGAGAGAGAAAAAGGCCATAACCAGAATAAAGAGGAGAGGAAGAGAAGCCGCCTTAACATCTCGGGTAAATCAGCCAAACGCACTTCGACAACTTCATTAATACGAACGCAGCCGCCTTAGTCGACGGTACAGGGTACAGGGACTACGTTACAGAGGCCGCAACGCATTTTACAAAAGTAGAAATAAAGTATTATTTATGATTATTGTGAGAATTTCACAATGGCATGCGAGAATTTATTGTTAATGTTTTGTTGCTTGCCGGTTGTTGATGTTGTTGCTGCTATTGTTGTTGTTGTTGTTGTGATGGCAGCGACTTGGCAACGTAGCCTAATATGCAGAGTTGTAATAACAATCCCACAGGCACAGTGGGCTCAACTGAACTAAGTTGTAAAAAATAGATTAAAAGCCAGCGGATCTAGCAGCCGGACACCTGAGAATTCTGTGTTTTTCATATTAAGCTGTATTTCTCAATCTGTAAATTTCTTGTGAGAACTCTGCCTTAAAAGTTTGATTTGTAATTTCAATTTTGAGGAAATTCTCTGGTGGGGGAAGAGAGGGAAAATCCAAAAATAAGAAAAAATCGTCTTCCCTTGGGAGTAGGAAAATCTACACAACAAGTTTTGTTAATGTAGCTCAGCCGTTTCTGAAATCCTGGCGTTCATCCAGAAATACGGACAGCCAAGTCCAAATCAATTTATCACGTCATGCTGATTGAGAATATATATAGTATACTTTATAGGGTCGTAGATGCTTCGTACTGCATGTAACATATTTTTCCTCAATGGAAAATATACGTAATTTAAACTTTTCATCCTTCAGTTATAGTTATATATATAAAAACTAGAAATTAGTTGTAATTTTTAAATAATACTCTTTTGCATCAACTTAAATCAATAGTCAACAGAAATACTGCCACACTTCCAACAACAGTTGCATTTCCAACAACAAAACATATAGTTCAACCCACTGTGCGTGTGGCACAAGCAGCATTGACGCCGCGCCTCGCTGCCAAGCACCTCATGTCGAGAGGCTGAACGAATGCAAAGTATATGTACGAACATACATACATACATATGTACATATGTAATATGTGTACTACAAGAACAACATTAGCAAGTATAACTTTGATGTTTTCTGGCTTTTAATTTCGTGCTCTTTTTTCACACTCTACCCATCCCCCTCGGCCATGTCAACCACATCATTATGCACTTTCTTTTGCCGCACTCTTGCAAAATAATTCGCGTCGCCTGTCATGTCTTAGGTTTGTTGCATTTTTGCGGTATGGAATGCATTGCAAGTTGTAATTAAAATTTCATTTCGATGTTTAAGACAAATGTCTTGCTCTGCACTTACTTGCCATTCCTGTTGTTGTTGTTGTTGCATTTTACAACCTGTTGTTGTTATTGTATTGTATTACTATTGTTGGCATTTTCCGTCACTCTTGTTGCGCGCTCGTAAAATGTTTTTATTTATGTGTCTAGTACTATTTATTAGCCAATATTTGCTTGCCGCATCACTTCCTTATTGTTTATGCACTTTGCTTCTTTTTATGATTTGCAAATAGTTTTTAAAACGCACTTAATATGCATTTGCACTTTGTCCTTCGTGCCCATAGCTATGAACTTTTGTCCGCCACTAAACTGATATCCATAAGTATGCAGTGCTGCCAATCTAGCTGCTTGCAGTGTTGTCCTGCTTAGGAGGATCAGTGAACCCACACTGCCAACTAGGAATTTAAATTCAAATAAGAATAGTTTGTTTTCTTATAGTACATCGTTCTGGAGCCGCTTTAATTATCAAAGTCCAAATAAGAAAACAGTTTTTGTTTTATAATTCATTCATAAAAATTTTTTATTGTTTTTTTCATGTTTTTTTCACTTGCTTTTTTGTTTGTTCATTTTTTTGCATTTTTCTTGTTGTTTTTTGAATTCATTTGTTTAATTACTAAAAAATTTCATAAAATTGTTTAGACTAAATCGTAAGTACAACACTAAATTACAATTGTATGCATGTAGCTACTATTCTTTTTGTTATTTTTTCTCGTTTTTGTTGTTGTTGTATATATATAAATATGTGTAATAGGTCTTATAAACTTTTTACAATCTTTTGTGTATTTTTTTTTTAGGTTTTCCTTTGCAATAAAAATATAAATTACTAAAAACGACTGTTTAAAAATTAAATATTTATAAAAAATATATATGTGTATAGGCTGTATAAGCGATTTAGTATAATGTATGAGCGTAGATAACAAGAAGTATGGTAGAGAGTTTTAAATTATTTACAAAATCAGTTTGAATAATAAATGAGCGCTGTGTTTAATTTGTGATCTGTGTGTTTATTCGATTTCTAGGTAGCAAATGTATAAAAATATATATATCCGCCATATCTGGCCTGTTTGCCGCACAGTTTCGTTTTCGTTTCTTTCGCTTTACTTTCTTTTTAGCACTTTTACATCTAGTTTTACGCACTATCGAGGAACCATTTGCAATGTAACTGCAGAGCTTTTGTGTCGTTTTTGTGAAGAAGATTTAATTTTGATATTTTGGAATTTCGCAAACAGTTTTTCATTTTGCGGTCACTACACATGTTCGTTTATTTGTTTGTTTGGTTTGAGATCAAAATTAAATGTAAACATATTTTTTATGCATTTTAAACAACAAAATTAATAAGACTATTTTGCTTTGAAGACTTTTTGTTTGTTTTATATTGTATGTAGCTATATGTATTGTATATTTCATTCAATTTTGTTTTCCGTTTTCAATGTTCATCCAAATTTTAATTTTCGCTTAAATTTATAAATTCAATACATTTCGTTTACAGTTAAGTTCATTAACTATATAGATTGTTGTTGACTTCTTTTTGCTTTCATTGCGCCAAATTAAAAAAAAGTCCAAAAATTATGGTAGAAAATAAAAATGTGTTTAAAAAAAAACTGTAAATTTTAAAATAAGTGTTAAATTTTTAAAGTGTAATTAATAAGCACTTATTGTAGAATCACTAAATGTTTTGTTTGTCTTCGCTTGTTTGTTTGTGTAGGCTATAAAATTAAGCTAGATTTAAAAGTACATATATATATATATATATAGATATTTTTATATTTTATTATTTAAATATTAGACACTAAAAATAGAGCGCGAGATAGTCAATTTTTCATATAGTTATATATTTTATATCTGTTCGTATATCGAAATTTCCTATCAAATACTATGTACAAAATGCCTGGGCACTACTTTGCATAAAAAAGTAGTTGTCAAGTACTCGTATGCAATGAGGAATTCTTGCTCTTCGTTTACTATATATAGAGTTTACATAATTCTTTATGATATTTATGCACTATTTACAAATTGTCGCACATTTTTTTTTTACCTAAATTGGGGGAAAAATATATAATTACATTGAAGCAGATTTTTCGGTAACATGCAAAACGTCAGTGAAGGTGAAGGTCTAGTATTCTAGAAACAATTCTTTATTCTTTTATATAGAAATTTTGATAGCGTTATATGAACGAATAGCGAAAAACGATACTATAATACTTTCCGTTATGATTATATTTAAATGGCAGGCGTGTTTTTTCTCTTCCTGATCATGATGTGATGATGGAGAAAAGTTTTCATTGGCAGTGCGCGTTAAACATAATAGTATCGAAAAGTATCGAAGTATCGTTTATAACTTTTGTTTACGTAGCGTGCTTTGTCCTCAAAACTTACAGCCGCAACGCTACAAGACTTAAATAATCAATGTACGTTAATTTCACGGTCAAGTTTTTAGATTTTCTGTTGTGTTAAATTTTGTATCTTCTTTTGTGGGGGGGAAACAGCAGAGATTTGTTTCATTTATAAATGTCGTTTTTATATACACATATACATACACTTGCTATAATAATGTACTTTATGCATACGTCAGTCCATGCGAAACAAAATAATTCCAATGCCGTGCATCTATACGGGACATTTTCTGTTGGGTCTCTTTTGAACTTGTGACGTCACAGAGAGAAAATCAGTCCCGTATAAATGAGGCATTAGTTATAGTATAATTACAATAAGTTAGGGTATAAGTATAGATCGATGTGAGGGCTGCCTGTTACTCCTTGCGACGACTGCACTGCTTCAATCAATCAATTGATCAATCAAAAAACAACAACAACAAAAGTCACGCACCACTGTGCGGCTCATTTGGCGTCCTTTTTTCCACTCACTTCCCCGTTTCTCTCTCTCTCTCCCTCTCTCTATCACTCGCAAACTCGCTCTCTCTTCAGCTTATTCTCTTGATACTCTCAGCCTTGGTTTTTTGTTTTTAGAAGTATTTTACATATGTGGCGTGCCACAGACCACTGTGCGTTGCGTCGCCGCGGCACCACTGCCCGTCGCCATCATTTGGGAGGAGCACGCCCCCGCGACGCCCGCTGCGGCCAACGAGGGCCATCGCTGACTGCAATAGGAGCTCTCGCCAAGCACCGAGATGCGTTTGCTCTCAGCCGGACCAGCACCATTGCTTGCTCCGCTGTAGTCTTTGGTTTGGCTGGACTGCGAGGACGCAGTGGCTGCCGCCGCCGCCGCTGCTGCGGCTGCTGCTCCCGCTGAGAGAAGCTGGGAGGCGCGATGCATGAGCGTGGGATCGGTATTGAGCTGCTTTTGCGACTTGGCGCGCTGCAATGGCGCTATCTGCCCGACGCCACAGAACTCGGAATTGGCATTATTGTCGGCTCCATAATTGGACAAGGCGCCGCCGTACATCAGACACTCATCGGCTGCTGCCGCGGCGGCTGCTGCTGAGGCGCATATGTTATTGACTGACTTATCCCATGTATTCTTGATGATGTTCGGATTGCTGTTGTCGAAGGTCAGGCCACTGTTGCTGCCCCGTTTGACGCCCAGGGTGCCCATAACGGCGGGCCCACCCACACCCACTCCCACACCACCACCATTGTGGTGCAGAGTGGCCACCGCGTTCTGTTCGTTCTGCTTCCTGGCCTCCGCATCGTCCTTTTCCTGCGCACGCTTCCGTTTGCGTTTCATGCAGAAGACCACGCAGGCGGCAATGACGGCCACCAGCGGCATAGCCACCGAGAAGATGGCAATGAGCACCACCTGGGCATTGGTAAGGCCATCGGAACGCGTTTGGGCCGTCGCTCCATACTGATGAGCATCGTAGGTAACCGAGTCGTAGGATTCCTCGTCGCACTGCCTGCCACGAAAGCCGTTGGCGCAGACGCATTCGAAGCTATTCACACGATTCATGCAGGTGCCGCCGTTGTGGCAGGGAGCACTGCCACACTCATCGATATCGATGGAACAATCCTTGCCCGTGAAGCCCGCACGACAGTCGCACTGGTAGTCGTTGCTCAGATTCGTGCAGCTGCCGCCATTGGCGCAGGGCTTGGTCAGACAGAGGTCGACTTTGCTCGCACAGCGCGGTCCATGGAAGCCGGGCACACATTGGCAACGATACTGATTGACCAGATCGATGCAGGTGCCGCCATTCTGGCACTTATGGCCAGCACAATCATCCAAATTCTGTTCACATTTGGCGCCAGCAAAGCCGCTGGGACAGATGCACTTGCCACTTGGTTGACAATTGCCGCCATTTAGACAGGGATTGGGACTGCAATTGTCCAGATGCAGTTCACAGGTGACGCCACTGTAGCCGGTGGGGCATTCGCATTGAAACCCCTGCTTGTTGTTGCTGTTGTTGTTGTTTGTGCTTGTATTGCGGCAGCTGCCATGATGGCAAGGCTTATCGGCGCAGGTCAGCAGCTTATCCTCGCACATGCGTCCATTCCAGCCCTTGGGGCATGCACATTTGTAGCCACGTTTCGAGTTGGGATCATCGATGCAGGTGCCGCCATTCTGGCAAGGATTCACTTCGCCGTCGCATGAATTGATCTCCGTTTGGCAATCGTTGCCACTAAAGCCGGGCGCACACTTGCAGGTGTAGAGTCCTTGACCGGTGTTGAAGCAGGTGCCGCCATTCTTGCACGGGCGATGGTTCGTGCAGTAGTTGAGGTCCTGATTGCAGAAAAGACCGCCCCAGCCCTCGTTGCAAATGCACTCCCAGGGCTTGTTGCATGTGCCATGAATGCAGCCGGGATATGCTTCACACTCGTTACACAGCGTCCCCTTCCAGCCCGTTTGGCAACTGTAAAAAATTGGAGAAAAGGGTGAACAAAATTAACATTTAAACAATTTAAAATAAACACTAAATAAATAAAATCTATTTAATTCGCGATTTTTCTTCAGACTTAAGCGATATACTCTTCAATTAAGCTACAGAGTGAATTCCGAACAAGTTTGAATAGAAAAGAACTCCAAAAAAGGATGGCCAATGCTACCAATTAAGCTAGAAAAGTGCTACCCATCCCATAAGTGCAGAGCAGAGCGCAACTCGTTTCGCCGCGTTGAAATAGAAATAGAAATATAAAATAAATCCAATTAACACAATATTTGCGCATTAATTTGGTAAAGTTATACATACATATTTCGAAAGCATTGCAAATTAGTGATTGCTCAAATATGTACATACATATGTTATTAAAAAACTATTTCGGCCAAGTGGGTTGCTACACAAATTTAAAGAAGCAAACAAACAAACATAACTTTGTTGCGCTTTAAAGAAATTAAAAGCAAAAAGTGAAGGCAACAATAAAAACAACAACAACCATAACGCATTGCGAATCAATGAAATATGCAAATATACTTATACACACACACACACACACACACACATGCATTGTGGCTGAGAGCCAAGAAACGGACACGGACGACGGCATTTATTGAAGCGCCTTGAGCGCTGGCTTACTTCTCTTCTTTTTTTTTTGAAGCTGGCTGCGTGAAAGCCGAAGAAGACGAATCACCTGTTCAGCAGATCACACACATACACACACATACATGCATACATACAATGTGCACACATTTGGTGTATTGTGTGTATTTCAGGTTTGTAATTGATGCGTTTTTGTTTGCCTGTGTGGGTGTGCCCTGCAACGGTTGGTTGAGTTGGCCAAGCAGCAAAGGGCACATTAAAGCTATGATCAGACAGGCAAAATGTTTGCACACAACTGTGTCCTATTGCACAATTAAGATGTGGTCAGACTGGCAAATACTTAGTTGGCATACAACTTTTTTGAGTTGCACCAGAATATTATAATAAAATAATAAGAATTTTCTAAATAAATTTTAATAATTTTAGTGCAAATAATTTGCATGTCTGATCACAGCCTAACGCTCATCGATACACACATACATATGTACAAGTATATGTAGATGACAACTTTTTTGCTTATTTCTTTCCCTCACTTTTCATTCTGCGTCACTTTGGGGCTCCTCTTCAATGATTTGAAGTGCTTGTGCGATTGGGAAGAGTAGACGAACGCTTGACAGAAAGACAGACAGACAGACATGCAGCTGGCGGGGGATGCGGGGGGTGCTTGTCAACTTTAAAGAGTCAAACAATGACGATGACGACGACCACGTCTTTTATTTTCGAGTGCACATATCCGTGCGCCCGTCATGCAAAATGCAGCCTCGAGAACTGACGAAGACGACGACGACGAAACTCTAAGCAGGAGGAGTCAGTCACAAGATTATTGCTCATTTTTTAGCTTTTTGTTTTTGCATTTCTCACGATCAAAGAGGTCGCGCGCATTAAAAAAGGGAGGCAGTGCCGGCGAGAGTTGGGGAAATTAGTTCAGTAGTTTCTAATTATTCCTTTAGTTCCCTTAGTTACTACGGCCGTTGAGTCATCATATTTGAATTATTATTCCGTTTTAATTTATTTTCAAAATGAAAATTTTTTCTTAGCCAAAATAAGCCCAAAACCTAGTTTAGTATCTCCTCTTGGAGAGCTTGCACGAAGCGGAACGACCCAAGTCTACTGCTGGCAGCGACACTTCCTATGCAGCACATAACGATGCGTCTGCGCACGCATGCCCTCACTGTGCACAATGCCAAATGCATTCCCAATTAGACCAACAACAAAGGAAGCCTTCACCCACAAAATAATCAAATTGGCAGTAATTCAAAGCAGACATAGTCAGTAGAGTGAATGGCAAGAGAGCGCGCGGAGAGAGGTGGTAATTGATATGCAGCAGTGTGTACACGACTGCAGAAATGTCAAAAAGCGCGTGTGCTTGTTGTTATTGTTTTTTTAGTTGCGGCTGATGTGTTGTGCGCGTACGCGTTTAGAATTATTAAAATATTCCCACCATCGACAGAATAAAAAGGCCAATACAATTTTCAAACGCTGGCACGCATATTTAAGCGTTCAAAAGGCATTTGCGGTTTTCTACGAATCACTCAGTAAAAGAGAGGCCTATTTATACACAACAATAAAATAGAAGGAAAAGAAATAAATCGCCAGCGGCAATGAGATGTTGAATTTAGTTTTTGGCACAATTATTGACCGCAGTCAAAATGTTTGATTTCCGTTACTGTCGGCCAGCCAACAATAACAACAGCAATAATGCATGAATAATGAGCAACATCCTGCCGTTGGTTGGAAAATGTACAAAAAATATTAACAAAAATCAAACACAAACTGCGCACTAAGTTGGCAACACTTGCGCACAACAGCTGAGAGAGCGTGCCTGCCAGTCTGTGCATTTGTATGGATGTGTGTGTGCGTGTGTGAGTTTGTTGCTGCGCTTGAAATTTCATGCAGCAATTATTTGCGAGCGTAGACAAAGTGTTCGCTTACACCTGACAGCGACGAAGGCGGCGACCGCTGCCTTATGAAAAATGTGGGAAAACTTTGTAATGCAATTTAATGGTGAGTGTGTGTGTTTGCTTTTACTTCATTATTGTTAATGTACACAGCCAAAATTGTAATGCAAAACCTCAAACAATCAAGTGACAGCAGCGGCGTCAACGTCAACGTAAACGTCGACGCCAAAGTCTTAGTCGACGTCGTCACAAACCAAAAGAATTTCTTGCGGTTTGTCGCGCAAAACGTGCACTTAAACGCTAAAAACACAAAAAGTATTTTGCCCTTTACAAAATGCACACAATGTGCACAAAGTGGCTGCACTCCCCTTCCTCCTCCCAATCTTTCCATCTCTCCCAAACGACCCAACTCTAAGACACAAACAAGCACATGAAAAACTTGGTAGCAACAAAAATTGCTTTGAAAGGTGTGTCGTTTTGCAAGTTGTTGTTGTTTTTGTGTTTGTATTTGTTGGTGCTGATGACGAGACGCGGGCGTGTTTCGACTAGATAGAGCAACAAAAACAAACGTCAACAGACTGACAGACTGATTGAACAGAAAAAGGCGAATACAAGAAAAAAAACGTGCGGCAAACAAAACAAAAACTCATCATTAAAAAGAAATAGCGCTAGACATTGAGTTGCGCTCGCCCTACTCTAATTAACAACATTTGTTGCTACTGGTTTGTGTGTTTATTGGTCATATCAACATGTTGCCAATAGCGCCAGACACACAATGTTGCGCCTAGGCGTTTCTGCCAAGAAAGTTTGGCAATTGTTAAAATGATTAAAAATAGTAACAAATTAAATAAAAATAAATAGTTTTTAGTTTATATAGATACTTACATGCATTGATTGGGCTTATCGCAGTGACCATGCTCGCAACCTTTGGCGCATTTAGCTGAAAAGAGAGAACCGAAATAAAATGCTTTAGTAACAATTTCAAATGACAAAAGCAGCTTTAAAACTACATAAAAGTATAAATAAAAGTTAATGGTGCAACTTTGTTTGTTTATATAAGCAAACACGTTCCCAGATCCGAATTTAAATGCTTCAACTTAAATAGTTGAGTAGAAAATAGTTACACCTGCCACAGAGTTTAAACAAACAATTTAGGAAAGTAACAACAACAAAAACAGACGCCCACACGCAACAAAAACAATGCCAACAACCTACATAGAAAAAGCGTCAAATTGAAGCAATTTTTGTCCAAGTGAAAACTTTCTTTTTCACCTCCAAGCTGAAAACCTCTAAAAAAAACTGCTTAAAATTGCTTGGAAAAAGAAGACGTCTTTAAAACGCGTCAAAGACAAAAGCGCGTGATTTTTCACAAACAATAGAGACGAAATAATAATAATAATAATAAAAAGCAAAGACGTTTAATTGTGCTGACCAATGGAAATCTGTGTATCATGAATCATGGCCGTAATGCACGCAAATGATTTGATGCCGCCAATGCCTTTAAAACTGTTGCCAAGCAGCAGCGATCAGGAATAACTTGTTTCTAATAAGCAAATATACACGAACGGCAGCGCGCAGACTTAAGGCAAAGCAAGCAAAAGGAAACACACAAAATGAAATAATCCCATGGTCAAAATAAAAGAAGCAACCCAAGTCCGGCCTCTGCCTCTGACTGCCTGCCTTTCCTGCCTGCCTGCCAGCATCATAAAGAGCAGCCCGAAAAGCAGCAGAAGACAACAACACACAACAAAAAAAAAAAAAAAACACAGATTCCCAAGCTCCTCTCAAAAGGTTCAGTTCGAACTTCGATTGTATTGGAGCCGCATCGCCGGACCAAGTCAAGAATGTGGCAAACATGTTTTGTTGGCTGCCTCCTTCGTCGACGTCGTCGTCGCCATCGCCTTCGCCGCCTTGGCAGGAAGTTGGGGAGTTGCCCCGAAAGAAGGGCTAGAAAATTGTGAATTGCAGTCAGCAACAAAAATAACAGCAGCAGCCCAAAAAGGCTAGTCAGGCGTGTAAGTTGTTGCACAGCTCCTCAGCTCAGCTCCTCTTTAAACAGGCAGCCACACACACATACCATCACCCATTTTCATTGAGCAAAAATAGGCTGCTCTGCAGGAAAATTGCTAGAAAATCACAAAAACGTGTTCTCCACTGCTCCTGATGATGCCGATGCTGCTGCCGTCTTCTCTGCAGCGTCCACAGACAGTGCGCTTTTAATTTGACTCCCCCGTTTGCAACGCCTCTCCTGTCCACACACAATGTCTGTGCAGCTACAGTGAAATTTCCTTAACAATTTTCCACTACATGAACATTTTCTGCACTGACAAATCTAAATTGCAAATCAGTTTCCCCCAAAAATATCACCCGGCATTTTTAATTTGAAAATCTTGCTGAATAGTAAAATATTTTAATTGATAGTTGATTGTCATATGCAACCAAATGCTCTGGTTTTTAAAACTCAAGCGGCTCTATTAATTGTCCTAAAACATTGTTTGCTGGTTTCCCTTTCCCTTATATGACCGTTAATATACAGAAGACTTATCGACAAATTCTAGGCTTTAAATGGGGAGCGAACCACAAATTGTAGAAATAATTTGATAATTTATAAAAAAAACTCTTTGAGCTTCTCTTTTATCAAATCAGCACTGTAGTTTATAGTTTAAAGCGTAATATTGGCAATTGGCAATGATTTTTATTACATGGTTGGGCTAGGTCGCTTGTGTGTAGTCGTTGGGGAGCTCAGTCAGCCCCTTGAAATAGTTTTCACATTCTGCCGCCGCACTGAAAGTGAGTTGAGCTCCTTTTTTCCTCTTCCTCTTCCTCTACTTCTTGTTCTTCATTTTGCTGTGTCTATTAGGGCGGATGGTCGGTTGGTTGGTTGTTAGCTACTCGTGGTAGCTGCCGCTCTATTGGGCTGTTCCGCTCTCGACTTTTAGGAGCATGCTGTGGTATGTTAAACATAGTCGCCGTTTTTATCGTTTGTTCTGTGGCTGCTGCGCAAGTTCACACGCCCGCAAGCAACTCTGGCGAATGTATCTCATGCTCGCAGGCTCAATGATGTTGTTGTTGTTGTTGTTCAAATGATTATGATGAAAAGGCTGCAATTCAGTTTGCCTGCATGGGGAATAGGCACTTACTTTCACTGTCGGCACTGAGAACAATCTTCAAGTTGACAGCTGTATCTTTTGCAAGAAGGAGCAAAGTAAATGCTGCCAGTTCATTATAAAGGCTCATTAAAAAGGTTGAAACGCAATTTAATAAAAAGTATCTGAAAGATACAAATGTAACTGCAAGATACATGTGTATCTATACTTTTAAACATGTTTTCTTTTCTTCAGTTGATCAGTTTTTGGGCGTAATCAATATATTTTTTAATTGGGAAAATGTTTATAAAACAAATATCCGAAAGATACAAAACTATCTTTCGCTACAAATCACTTCTGTAAAGAGGCCATTCGCTTCCTTTTGTAATTATGGCAGCTTTTAAGGCCACATTGCATATTAAACGAACGCAAATGCTAAATAAGTAAGCTACAGTCAGAGCTGCGCTGAAATTTTTAAATGTATCTTACAGATACACAAGTATTTCTAGAGCAAAAAACAGTTGGTTCAGCCTCATTAGTAAGCGAGTCAAGTTTTAAACGCCCTTTCCAGCTCTTTACAAGATATCTGGTCGCATTATCGTTTGTGTTTTGTCTTCTTCTTTTTTTAGTTTACCCCTTTAATTAGTTGCTAAAGCGCACCCACAGCAGACCCTCCTCGATTTAACGTGCACTGCAGCTGCTCTCGCTACCTGCATATTGATCCTGTCACAGGCAACTTGTTTCATTCATGAAAAAAAAGGAAAGATACGACAACTTAAACTTTAGTTCAAAATAGCTTATTTCCTTGAAATTTAAACGCACACACACACACACACATATACACACCAATGCAAACACCGTTGCTTCATTCATACGCACTTTGCCCAAAATTAGTTGCGCATAAACAAAAACAAAAGCAAGAGTACAAAAGAATTGGCAGTTGAGCCCTTTGGGCCAATTTGAGGCTGCAGCCACTTCCACTTGAGCAACTTTTTTGCAGCCGCACGTTTTGGCTTTTTATTTTCTGCCTGCTTCTGCTCCTGCTGCTGCTGCTGCTGTTGGAAAATAATTTTCACACAAGTGCATGTGTGTGTGTGTGTGTGCCTTAATTTAAGCTCATTTTTGCGCATTTAACTTGAAAATAAAATATCGGTGATGGCAGCAACAACAGCAGCTGTATTTGGCTGCCTCTTCCGCTCAGCTCAGCCGAGTTGCTAAACCGGCAACAGAGCGGCATGTGCAGGACGACACAAAAATTATCTGCCCGAAAAAAAAACAACAACAACAAAAAAATGGGAATACAATCAGGCACTGGCAGACAGACGACGACATTTAAGGTGTAATCAGCCGTTGCCAACCCTAAAGGAAGTTCTCCGAGCTGGCTGCTGCGCCTGCGCGCACACACACACACAGATACACGCAAACTGCCCCAAAAACAGCACATTGAAGCAAAAGTCCTGCGCAGCTAAATACCGTATAAGAGAGTTTTCAAATATTGTAAATAATTTACCGTATTATTCTAAAGTAATTGAGCAACAAATTTTCATTAAGAGTTTAAAAAGTTGGTGAACGATAGCCGATATTTCACAAAATACAAATTAAATGATGTATCTTCTGGGAATTGAATAAAATATTTAATAATTATTATTTAATTATTAAGTACTTCGAAAAGTGAAAGAAAAGTTAGTTGAAATTTGTATTGTTATTAGGGATTTTATGGAAAATAATCATTATTTTAATTTATAACATCAGACTCTTTTAATTCGTCTAATAATTTGCTTTTCTCTTTTGAAACTCTGAGCAAATATTTAATTTTTGACCTAATTTGTTGTTACTGTTGAGACACTGTGCCTTGCCATCGTCTGAGCTCGTCTCCACATCCTACTGAGCAATGCTCGGCATGCAGTGGAGCATTAGCAGACGACGAAGAAGACGACGGCAACGAGAAGGTACGTCATGATGATGAAGTTCAGGCTGCCTCTATATGCATGTGCGCATGCGTATGCATGTATCTGTGCGTGTGTGTGTGTGTGTTAGTTTTCGTAAGATCTACCACACCTTGGCCTGGGCCTGGGCCTGAGCCCTTGCACTTGGCGTGGGAAGATTTTTCTGTTCTAAAGTTTTGCCTCTGTGTTTGTGTGTGTGTGTGCTCTGATTCACAGTGTGCGAGCCAGCGAGTGTGTGTGTGTGTGTGTGTGTGTGCGTGCCCCCAAAATTGTTGAAAGGTAGCTCGTTGGCTACTACAAAGGGCTGCCCGATTCGCTTTTTGGCTGCTGCAGGCGCTCTTTTGTTTAGTTCGTTAGACGTTTTGTTTCTGCTGTTTGTTCTGCGCGCTCCCGATGACAAATGACTTTTCATACACACTATATAGTATGCATATCGAAGGTACTATATAGGCACATTGGTATTTTCCGTGTTGCTTTGCATTTCCCGAAGCAGTGTGTTGTTGTCGTTGCTGTTCGTTATTCAAAATTCATTGATTTTTAATGTATTTGTTTGACTCGATTCGATTTTTTTTCTTTCTTTATGTTGTTGTTGTTCCTGATATTATTTAAATTGTTTACACACAAATCGTCAACTCATCATCGTCAGCGTTTGCCCCGATCGATCGGCATTCGTTGCGCGCTCTCTACGCATTCAAAATAATTACACTTTAATTCGTTTGTTTGCCCATAGCAGCCTTCAAGCTGCAAGCTTCAGCTCTCCTCAGCCCAAGCCACGGCAGACTCCTGCCTTTATTTCTGTACAATCATCTCATTTGATTTGACAAGCAAGTGATTTTCAATAATAATGAGTAGTGAAGTGTGGAGAAACGGCCAAAAGACACAATAAAATGAAAAAAAGCGCGTAGTCCACTTGACAAACATCGCAGTGCGGCAGCAGCAGCAGCAGCAACAATAACAACAAACATGTGCCTGGGTCCCCAAGTGGTTCAGCGAAATAAATGTAAAATCGTTGGCACCAAATTGGAGAATGGAGCACAGAAAAAAGATACACAAGTTGCCTAAGTGCGCGTTTTTTTTTTCTTAAATTTTGAGGCAAATATTTTTTGTAATTTATCAATTAGATTTATTGGTGGTCCATAATATGAACCAAAAGGCTTTGAAAATCTTTTTAGAGTTTATGCTGCCTGTTGTTAAAGCGTACATCAACCAATTTGTATGTGAAGATACAAAGATAGCTAAGAGATACTTTGCTAAAGTCAGCTAAAAACGCGCCAAGACTTCAAAATTGCTGAGCTGTCGTTTGAAAAACATGTAGATTGCTTCAGATGGAAAAGTATCTTTAAGATACATAATTAAAACCGACTAGGAAAGAACCTAGCACGTAAATGACGCAAACAAATATTTGCATAACTTTTTCAATGTATAAGCAAATGTATTTTAGAGCCTATCCTTCAATTTATCAATAAGATACAACACTCGGATATAAAAAGGCTTACTAGTATATTTATGTGTCACAAACACTACTCACCTTTATCACAGTAACTGCCTTGCCAGCCAGTAAGGCATATTATTTCACCTGTCTCTGAGCATGTATAATGACCGAACTGATCATCGCGGGGCCGGCATAAATTTGCACAGCCCGCTCCGTAATAGTGCGGATCGCAGGTAACGCGAAAATCATATTCGAGCCAAGTGTATTGCGATTCGGATTTGTTCGTTTTCCATTCGGATGAGACCTCCAAAACTTGTTGCACAGACAGACGTTGTATGAGTAGATCTGAAAGAAACACAAGGTATAAAGATAAGTGCTGAGATACAGATACAGATATACTATGCACATGTGAAAAAGGGTACAAGTTCGTAGATAGCATAATGAAGATTAATTGGGTTAAGAGTTACAGTTAAGAGGAGCAGGCGGGTCGTTGCTGGCGCTGCCGGCAACTTGCAGGGAATGCTTAATAATACAGGTACGAGTATTACATATGTATATACTCGTATACTTAAAAAATGAAGCAGCAAATGCAAAATGAAAAAAGAATAGAAAAAAATTTAGGAAAAACAACAGATAGATAGGTGGATGGATGGATGGAAAAAACGAAAAACTCCCAAATGCAATTGCTTGTCACACTCGCTGCGCATGCGCACAAGTCAAGTGCCGTGCCGAGCCGAGCCGAGCCAAGGTATGCGACGGCACTCTCCTAGGCACTTGGTATTTGCGACGATGCCGGGGCATGGCAGACCAGCAGCCAAGCAGCCAGCCATGCACACGACTCTGACTCGAAAAATAAAAAAACAGAAACAAAAACAAAAATTGTGAGGGAACATTTTCAGCTGTTCGAGAGTCTCTCTGACAAGCGAACGACTCAAGCCGACGCGACCGGTCTTTTTTGAAGCTACAAGTATTGGATGGCAGTGCACAACTCGGCTATGTGTGTGCGCGCCTTTATGTACATACATATGTATATTGTATATACATATATAAATATAGCCACATTATGCCATGGTCTATAAAGTAAATTGCAGGTGCATGACTATTCGAATTGCATGCAGCGAGCGAGCAACCACCGCCAACCAACTAAGAAACCAAGCAAGCGATCGACGACGAGTGGCTCAAGAGTTTTCGTTAGCGGTGGTATGTAAGCTCGAAAACAGCATAAATCTCCCGCATTGCCAAAGCGGCAATATGATTCCAAAATAAGCGAACAGAAAATATTCGAAAACTACTTATAAATAAATATGCTGTGGAAGAAAAAGAACAAACTGATCTCTGCTGGTGGAGAAAATCTTCTGCTTAAGCCACGTTGTGGTTTGTGGCACAAATGGGGCACAGAAACGGCAGCAATTGAAGCGGAAGTGGGGCAAGAGGGTAGCAAACATATAAAAGCAAAAGTTGCCATCGATAGAGAAAGAGAGTGGAAGAAGAAGCGCCCAGTGAAAGTGCAAGCAATGAGATTTTTTGGTAAAGATGGTATCGGTCTGATGGATTTGAATAATCATAGTGGCAGGGAGTTGTTACGAAGATCAACAGTTAAAGAAGAACAAATTTAAATACAAAGAAACTGTAATAATACTCTAAGTCAAGGGAGGGCCCCCCGAAAGGTGCCTAATAATTCTACAACTACAAGCATATTAGATGCATTAATAGGAATTTCGTGAAAGCAGACAAGTAACTCTCTTATTCAGCAATACAATCTAAAGATTTCTTTAAAAATTCTCCAACATAGTAGAACACTTGTATGGCTTGATATTGATACGTGATTATTCAGATAAACGCCACAGCTTTTACCTCAACGGCTTTGCAACTGGACTCAAAAAAAAAAAAAAAAAAAAAAAAATGGACCCAATAAATAAAATGTATCTCAATATTGTCAAAGATATATTACATGCTTGCATTGACAAGCGCGCCAACTGGTCGACGAAACTAGTTATCCAACAAAAACTAAATAGATTTCCAATAAAAATAAAATATACAAACTAATTAATTACCAAAAATATGCAATTGCATATGAAAAACAAAAAACAAAACAACTGACAAAATTCTAAGCCAGTTGGCCACCAGTTGTTGCATATTTGGCAAAGTCGTGTGTTGTGTTTGCCGCTCTGCTTCACCTGCTGAAGGTGGAACATGGAAAAGCGCTCAGTAAAGGCAGCAACGACAGCAGCTACAAAATGCAAAAATCGCACCAAACAACAACATTCCAAAATGGAGCTTAAAGTCTGTTTGTTGTAGAGTACTTAATGTACTTTTTGGCATTTTTGCTTGGCAGCCAAAAACAAGAAACAAAATCGAAAAAATAAAATTGAATTGTAGTTTTATTTACATTTGCAACACACGATAAAGCACGGCAACTGCACTAACAACAGCAACAAAAGCAGCACCACAGCAGCAGCCACACTAGCGGCAGCGGCAATGGCATGTGGCACGTTAAGTCGCCTGCTGTTTCCACAGATATGCACACACTGTGAAGCCCATTGGATTTGTGGCATGACAGGTTATTAGACGCGGCAACTTGCGACCGGCAACTACAAGTAAGACGCACAATTTGACTTTACAAATGCAGTCTGGCCAGTTATGGTGCGCACATTTGCAAATAAATATAAACAAATTAAAAGAAATAATTTTGTGTATATACACAAAAATTATCCCGACTGTTGAGTGTGTGCGGCATTTTTTAATTATCGCTTAGATGCATACAACAACAACAACAACAACAACGAAAATCCACTTCAAGTGAAAAGTTGCGTGCGACAACTTTCGCATTTGGGGGAAATTTTCTGCAAATAGTTGATAGTAATAGAGTTTGATTTATGCGCGACAAGTGCGGAAATATCATTTGCAAGTGTCAATAAAAATGTCCCCTCACGGAACATTTTGGAAAAGCTTAAAAAATTCCCTATTTAAACCTCATTAGCTTTGATTAATTGTAAGAAAATAAAATTAACCGAAACACCAGCAGCTGCAAGGCTTGTCGCCAGACTCGAAAACTAGTTGCCTAAACACACAACAAATTGTTGCAGTCGCAACAAATGAGTGAAATTTGTGTGCAACAAATTTGCAACAAGAATTTCAAACTTGACTCTGTGGCACACACACACACAGACTTATATATACATATGTATATAGTACATGCATACTGACAAATATTTAGCCGCACAGACACCAGCACGCTGACTTAAACTAAAGGAATTTTTAAAATACCATTTTATCAAGACACACGACGGCGGCGATGACGACGACGTCGGCAACAAGTTTAGTGGCAAGCAGACGATGCTGCGACTCTCTGCGCTCTCCGCTCTGTTGCTGGGCTCTGACTGCTTGATCCAATGAGTTAAAATTAAAAGATAAGCATTTTAACAACATTGCCAGCAACAACAACAGCGTGCAACTAACAACTTTGGCATTGGCAGAGATTAATTGGTAGGTAGGGATAGGTGAAAAAAATAAAAATAAAAAAAATCCACCGACTCAAGCAACAACCGCAACAACAACAACAACAATAAACTCTTAAGAGCATGAGTTGAAAGATTTGGACGCATCAAGGGAAAAATCACCTTGCACGACGCGCACCTCGAACGCGAAGGATGAAGACGAAGTTGAGGATGAGGATGCCATTGCGACTGCGACTGCAAATGCAAGAGAAGACGGACGATCGGTCAAGCTGTTTGTGTGTGTGTGTGTGTGTGCGGCCAGCAGCCCAGCAGGCGCGGCTGGCAGGCAACTAGCAGGCCATGCCTGGCCCAAAGGCAACTTGCCCGAAAACCTGGCGAAAAGGTCGTGCCTATACTTGAAGGCCTGAGCAGAATCGAGCTGTGTAGTAGTAGATCGGGTGTGTTGCATGCGTGCGCTGCTGCACAGATTCTTTTTAGCTTGCCCCCTCCCGTTTACCGCCTCCTTTGTGTAATTTATGTTAAATGAATATAACAAAAAGACTGAGCAAAAAAAAAAAGAGGAAGAAATAAGAACTTGTTGGGAGTCGACTCTGTCCCGCTGGCGGACAGGCGTAAACTTGCTACGCAAGTTGAAGTATGCGGGAGACCGATTCAGACACACTCTGTGGCATGTAAAAGTTGTTGCATACTTTTAAATAATGAAATTAATCCTTGACAAGCGCGTACAGCGAAAAATCTGTACAAAATTGAAATTGCAATAACGACGTCTTGTGCGTGTGTATTGAGTAAACGATAAAGATCTATTAGCCGACATAGATAGGAGGCATGTACTTGAAAATTAGTAGTGAAGCGGGCGCACAGCAGGATACAAAGTGAAAATCGAAGGAACGGCAGCAACATGAATGGACTTGGATGCATACAACAGCAACAGCAACAACAACAAGAAATGAGAAAACAATTAAAATTCCTCAAGGAATAAAAATCAAGCTAAAAATAGTCGGACTATAGACAAAAGGAGCCAACCAACCCAAGCGAAGATTTGGAAAGAACGCAGTTAAGGTTTTTAGTGACGAAAGAACAAAAAACCAAAACAAAAAACTTGTCTGTTTTGTGTGGCAGTAAAAATTCTTATGAAAACTCCATAAATCTTGAGAAAGGCCCAAGAAAGTATTAGAAATACACAACCTGATGGCAGGTAAGCATTAAAATCCCAAGCAGGTAGCATGGATATTCGAGTGTGTGGGAAAATTAGGCGGGTCTTTCGATAAAACCAACAGCAGCTCAACATTTTCCTTTTAGTGTGCATTGAAAATGCAAGAAAAATAATCTACAAAAAAGAAAAGAAATGATACAAAAACGAAGAATTACATGAAGGGAAGTAATGGAGGATGATAGCAGGCGGCTAATCTGAACATGTCCTTGACAACATTGGGAATTGTTCCACAGCCGCCATGAACTTGCGTGTGTGGTCCACATCAATAGAGCCAAGAGGATGAACAAAAAAATGGCTGATCCTTATCTCTAGAGGACAATCAATGGAACATTGCACAAATCATGTCGCATTGTAAAAAGCCGAAGCTTGAAAACATTGCCATTAAACTGTTCCAATACAAAAGAACTTGGACAAGATGGATTACAAGAAGCGGCGGAAGCAGGGGGAGGAATTCAAGGTGGCTGCTGCTGCACAACACGATCTTAAAATTCTTGAGCGCAAAAAACAAAAAAGAACCTAAGCTCTAGTCGTGATTTTGGCAGAGCCATAAAACAGACACAAGCCAATGCAGTGGAAAGGAAAAAACTTTAATTGCATTTAAGTAAATGAGACGAAGACAAGGGCGAGACGACCTCAGCACACTTCCGTTCCAAACGAGCACGACTGCCAGCCAGACAACAAAAGCGACAAGTACGAGCAATTCTGTGGCTTGGCGTGGTTTATCCCTGAATAAAAACCAGAAGGGATACGACCATAGCGGACGATGACGACGACGCTGACGATGTGTGTTGTTTTGGGTTATTTAAAACCACTCAATGTGCCGGAAATCTTGGCACACACACACACACACACACGCACGCACATAGTGACGAAGTTTAGTTAGTTGCGCAGTTAGCGAAACTAGAAAGCACTCGGGGGCTGGGGCTGCGGCTGCACACGTCGTCAGCAAAGTATCAGGTGTCGTGGTTGTCTGGTGGCGCAGGACATTGTCTCTCGCTCTGCCACTCTCTTCTTCGGACGGTGGATCGTGCAAATTTTGACAGCTTTCGATCAAGCCACAGGAAACAGGATACAATGGATAGTTATGCATAAAAATTATGAGCCATATTTTGGGAAGGAAACAATTAATATGGTTGACGTTGCCTAAAGGATATATGGGTGCAGGAAGCAATTTAATGCAGTGCACTGATCAGACCAAAGGTACAAGTAATTTGGCAAACAGTGTGTAGTGAAAAAATTACGCATATTTTAAATAAAAAGCTAAAATTAGAATTGTTAACTAAAGTATAGCTTGGAAAGAGTGTCCATCTATGCTAGTGAAAAAATTTCTTATAACTATTTTCAAACGTAATTTCCAAAACTTACTGTTTGTGCGCGCATTTGCGGTATTATTCGTATCATGCCATGCCTCAACGATCAGCGTAAAAGTGCCCTGGAATAGAGGAGAAAGAAAGAGTAAAAGAAAGTCTTACATTAGTAGAAATTCAATAATAAATATATAAATATCTTAACCTATAGAACATCCAAACACATCTCGTTTCTGGCTATCGAAACAGGAAATTGCCACTTTACTCGCACGCCTAACAGTTGCGGAAGTGCGCGTCAACCTGGTTTATAATTTTTCAACAAAAAAAAAAATCACCTATTTATAAAGATATCATCACACCAACTAATTTCGACTAATAGCATGAAAGCCAAACTAAATCTTCAACAAGCTGCCACAGCCCACTAGAGCTCATTATAACGAGATTATGACAGCAACGGCAACATGTTTAAAGACGCCCACACAAACATGCACAGACGGACAGACAGACAGACAGACACTATCAACGTATCACACGCAATAACACACTCATGCAACAGCTGAGCTTGGGCTCTTGCAATCGAATTGCATTTGGAAGTCGTCGTCGATTTCAAAGCTGGGCAAAAATATGCGCACACGCAAACGGCATAAGGCATTTGAAATGCAAATCTGCGCATGCGCAGCGCCCTCAATTCACACTTGATTACAAATACACATGTGTGTGTCTATGGCGATGCTGGAAAAACCGGCAGAGATGACACAAAATTCAACTATATATGCATATGCATTGGTGTGTATCTGCCAGATACAGCAGCAGCAGCAGCAGCAGCAGCCACAACTGTGTTTGTTGACTATTTGCAGAGGCGGTAGCGGTTTGGCTGCCTGGCTGCCTAGCTGGCTTGCTTAGTTGGGCGTAGATTGCGTAGCTTCGGTTCGCTTCGCATTGCATGTAAATGACTAATTTTTGACTAACTTTCGATTTTCCGCGCTCGCATGTGGGCGTTTTTTTTATGAGAGATGTAGAATTAATTTAGTTGATAAGCTTTTTACCATTCGATTGCATAATGGAGCACTGCATATTGGCTAGACTCTTTTTGATCATTTTCGTGTGGCAGACATTGAAAATTGTTTGTTGCCATTTGGTAGTCTTCTTTTGTTGTTGTTGTTGTTGTTGTTGTTGCAGTATTTTTTGCGAGTCAACATTAAATTTATGGGCACGACAGGAAACAAATCAGACATAGATCATCAGCAGGCAAACAATGGCAAATGGGTAATGAAGAGAGGTACGAATGTAATGAAGCGATGCAATGCAATTGTTGTTATTGTTGCAATACTGTGCAGAAATAAAGTTTTTCAAGTGGTAGCCGAACTGTTGAGTACATGTACATGTATTTAAGCTTAATGTAAAAAATTTCCCTAAAAGGGATATTTTTGTTTAGCATTGGAATTGATTAGAAATAAGCATATAGCATAGCAAAACTTCCATAAAAGGGATATTTTTGTTTGGCTTTGGAATTGATTTGAAATAAGCATATAGCTTATGTATACATGTATAAGTTTAATGTATTTAAGTTTAATGTAAAAAATTTCCCGAAAAGGGATATTTTTGCCTGGCCTTGGAATTGATTAGAAATAAGCATACAAGTAGTTCAATATTTAAAAGAGTTGCATGCTATTTCGATGGTTATTGCTTAAGAATTTCGAATGCAGAGGTATATAGCTAAGGTCTTTAGCATAAGCTTGCTTCTACCTAGCACAAAGATAAATGCCAGCTACCCATATGTATTACGCTATATAAGTACAGAGACGCACTCCAAAAATAAATGAACGACATATAGCCAGCAGTCTATGCGACGTTGAGTATCGCGTGCGGCAGTGCGGTATATCAACGTCAATATCAGCTCTGGCGCATAGGGTGAAGTGCATGCCAAATGCATAGGGCGCAAGAGTAGGAGTGGTAGCAACCAACAGACAAGACACCCGCCCGCCGACGACAGACATACTAAAGACGGACGGAAGATAGGGACGGGACAGACAAAAGTAACAAAGTTCAATACATGCAAGCAAGAAGAAACGACAACGAAGGCAACATACAGACAACATACAGAAGAAGACACGTCGTCAAAGTTGTTGCTGTTCGCTGTTAACTATTTTTAGGCACAGAGCAGTGCGCAGATCAGACAGACAGACAAAGCAGATGAGCTGGGCAGGCGGTGGCGGTGGCGGTGGCAACCCCCATGCCTTCAACAACATTTGGCGTGTTGTCAAGCATGCGTGCCTGCTTGCCTGCCTGCCTACTTGCCTGGCCTGACTTGGTCGTTTTAATTAAGTGCAACATTAAATTAGTTGATGTTGCTGCAGTTGCTATGCTGTTGCAGAATGGAGTAGCGTCTAGTCTGATACTAAAATTAAATTTATAGTTTGACCTAGAAATATATCTATAGAGTTGAAAGTGCGCGCAGCAGACATGCATATAATGAAGTGTGTATTTTAAGCGCATTTTAAATAGTTGTTGCTGTACTAAAATAGAAAATTCCCTTTTGGGGGAAATTTTTAATTAACCTGCCAAATATGCTTTAAAAGCGCATTTTAAATAGTTGTTGCTGTGAGGGGCAATTTTTAAATAACCCACCAAATATGCTTTAGAAGGAAATGTGCATGTGTAGGCGTTTCTTTAAAATATCCCGCAATGGGAAATTTTTATAATAGCACGCACTAACTGTTGCTAATTGCTTATTTATGCAAACTTTTCACTCAGCCCGCAGTTTTAGTGCGAAAATTTATGCAATACATAAACAACCTACACATTTCACGTGCCAACATCATTTGCGCTACATACATATGTACATACATATATACACATTGTAGATAAGTTAGCCCCTGGGCATAAACATGACTTTGCTACTTTGCAACGGCAATGCGGCGGCTGCTGTTGACGCTCATAATGATAATAGTGACGTTGCACATGCGCAACAGCAACAACAACAACAGCAACCACAAACAATTAGGAAGTAAAGTGCAGGGAATGTAGAGGAGGAATGAAACAGAAAAACACCCCTCAAGAGTAACCCGCACACGCTGCGAGCGCACTGACATATAATTCATAGTGTATACGTATTATCGTCGACTCCGGTGGAAAAAAAATACGTTATAAAAATGTGAGCTGCTCTCCACATTCATTTGTTTGAAGCTTGAGTAACCACAGCTGAAGGTAAAGTTGTGCTCTTCTTTGGGGTGGCATGTGCGCATCTATACTCGTATATAAATATATGTACATATAAGTATATGTATGTATGCTTGTATGTTTATGTGTAACAATAAAATAATTAAGAAATGCATGCCACGTTAAGTCTTCAGCAGTTGGTATTTTTTCTTGGCAATCTCTTCTAGTTGGTAGTCAGTTTCGCACTCAAGCATAAAAATTTAAAAACCCGCACAAAGGAGAATGCACGGAAAAACTGAATGCAAGCACCGCAGCACCATTTCAAATTTCAACAATTTATTGAGCACACGTGCGCATAAATAATTGAGGCAAGTGCGGCTCTGGGTGGGTGGGCGTGCAATTTCAGTCCAATACGGACGAGTCGAGCTTTCAAGCACGCCAAGGTGACAGCTGAAATTTTTTTGTATATGTTGGCTATGGCCAAATAAAAATATCAGCAAAGAGTGACTGACTGAAGGCAGTTAAGGGAAATATTGGTTTTTGCCAAGCAAAGAGCAAACAAAAGTTGCGAGAGAAAAAGTAACGACATTTTCCAGGGGTTGATTATAAGTTTGAAACACGCGCTTACTTACTCAACCAGCTCGAAATTGTCGCTGGCTGGTGGTGCGCGCACGCGTTTTTCAGCGCATTTTAATAGCCGACAGATGTTTGCCTTGGCGTGTGCGCGCCAGCCAACCAGCCAGCCAACCACCCTTGTATTTGTGCCGCACAGAAGAATTTTTAACACAGGACAAGGACACGATCAATGCACTACGCGAAGAGAAACAGGGAATACAGGGAATAAAAAAAAAAGAAAATGCGAGCTGCTATTAAAAGCAAAGCAAATTAGCGAATATGTCGCTCTAGACTAAGATTTACAGAAAGAAACTTGAGTGTGCCAAGTATATATATCCTAGAGGTTGCTTGCGAGTGATTTTTTCTAATATTTCTTAAACTAAGTTTAATAGTTAAGCACATAAAAGCTTTATTCGAAATTTTACAAAAGGGGGAGAGAGATATAGTCGGGTGTAAATACGCATAACATGAGATCTGCCATGCTTTCTTTTCATGCTATACACACACATCACACTCAAGTAAGGGTAAGATTAAGATAAGCAAAATTAAAGAGAACGAGAGAGAGGAAGTGCGACACGGCGGCGATATTTTATTGACTGTCTGACTGACTGAGTGAGTGAGTGGCGTCGACATTCGTCTCTTTGTGGGGCTGGTGAAATGTTAGGGCGCTGCTTCAGCCGTAAACTAAATTTAGAAAATGTGTCTCGTACTCCCGTGGGCGCAGACACATGTGTGTAAATGTGCTTCTACACCTCCCCTCCTCCCTTTGTCATTCCCTGAAAATATTTTTTAAAATATTCATTCTTGTACTCACCGGCCATGCAAAATTGAAGGCGAATTGTATGGGATTCGTGAAGCCTTTATTTTGAAAGCTTTGCGTATCCGTTAGATTAACCGAATTTTCACCGAGTATGGGCGTAACCACATCACCGTACGTACACTGCGATGTGGTATCGATTTTCGCTTGATAATGCTTTAAACAGACACGAAATCGCGTTTTACATGTGCCAATGCACTTGCCCGTCGCCGCATCCGTTTGACCGCTACAGCAATGGCCCTCGTTATCGCGACCGTGCTCATTGCTAAAGTATTTGAGGCGCAATTCGAAATTGCCGGAACTGTGAACCTGCAGGAGAAAGAGAAGAAAGAGCATACGAAATTAATATATTAGTTTAGTGGGATTATTTTCTTAAGCTACACTAAATACACATAACTTTGGCTCGAGGGCAAAACTCAACTCAATAAACTTGCCACAAAACTAATCAAATTAAAAAGCAATTCATTAAAGTTGACGCTTCACTCGAATACAGAAAACAAGTTTGGGTTTTTTTTTCTTTTGCGAGGTAGTCGTCTACCGACTCGAAAAGGTAGATATTTGTGCTGCTATAAAAACTAAGAATGCAGCATCAAACATGACGATAAATCTTTCAACATGGTATTTAGCCGAAAAGTGCAGCAGAAGCCAAAGCAGGAGCAGTCGAATCGAACCAAAAAACAAAAACAAAAAACCAACGACAACGATCATGACGATGATGATGATGAAAAATTGCAGAAAAATACAATAACAAGTCGCGCACGCCTTTGTGGAATCTGGCGTGGCTCCCAAGTAACGAGTAGCAATTGGTGGTGCTCCGAGACCGGAGACCCGACCCATGCAAAGGACAGGAGGCTCTTAAAATATAAAAGAGCCAAAAAAGAATAACAACAGCAGGCGAGGCAAATTGACAAATTCACAGCGAGCGGTCGTTTTTCTTAATCTCCCCCTCTCCCTCTCTCTTTCTGCTCCCTTCGATAAGCAAATTGTAATAAATTTTGATTTTGTTTTGTTTCGTATATCGTTTTTTTTTTGTTTGGGAAGCTTTCAAGAAACGTTAACCTGCGCACAACTTTCGTTTTGAAGCGCACCGCCCATTTGCATAATTTGATTTGCAAATTAATTTTGATGCCTGTATTGTCATAAATTGTTAATCAAATTGTAACTTGTTTGATTTTTACGATGCTCAAGTGTGAAATGTGCCAAACGTGTGAGGGAAATTGTCAAAACTAGGTCGCGTGTGTTAAAAATTAGTTGTTAATTTATTTAAAATAGTCGATTTGGCATTTAAGTGGGTGTTTGACAAATTTCCCGGCTTTGGGTAATTTTGAGGGAAATTTTTATAAAAGCATTTAAACGTATATGGTCAGGGGTTTTATGACTTCGATGTGCACTTAAAATTTAATTATGACTTTACAGCGCCCATAAATGGTGCAACCAACAACCTACAAGTGCCTACAAGACAAAAACTGAATCAACGTTAACAAGACAATGCCCAAAAATAGGCGAGCTAGAGTTATTGCTGCTCTGATTGCTGCTCTGTTTTCTATAACTGTTCGGCAATTAACATTTTAACAACAACACAAGCGAACAAGTGAAGCTTGTTAAAATGACAATTTAATTGTTAACACGACATGAGCACAGCACCAGTCTCTATGCGAGGCGTCTTTTTCAGTCAGCATTTAAACAGGCACACAAACACACACACACGCATAAAAAGTGCTCCACATGTGGCAGCGATTGCTTGCTTGGGAAGTTTAGCTTTTTTCTCTCTTTTCTTCTCGTTTGCCTCCTCAACCTCACTGCTGCTCTGCTTTTGTGTATGAACATGGGTGTTTAATTGCTCAATTAAGTAGAAGCGAAGATGCTGTATGAGCTATGCTATGACCGTCGCACAGGTGTAATTGTAAGCCCCAAAGAAATAAGGTGTAAATGACGTACAAAAAAGAAGCAAGTCGAGGTAGGTGCGTGCGCGCCTTTAACAAATAAAAAGTGTAGCAAAGCTGCTTAACTATAATTTAATGACTTGAGCTGGCGCTAACATTGGTCAGAAGCTTTTGTAATTGTACTTGTAATTGTAATTGTGAAGTGTGGCCCAGCACAGGTAGAAATATGAAGATAGTGGACAGTTTTCGGTGGTTGGAAGGGCCATAAAAGTTTTCTTTTAAACGTTTTTCATTTGAACTTATTCATTTAAGAAGATGAATAAGCTAAAGAATCTAAATAGGAAAATTCTTAGACCATATTTTAGGTTTGTTCCCAATTTTTTATATTTATCAGTAATCTCAAGACATAAATTATGAATAAATATTACAAACATTTTTTCTGGCTTAAATTGATGTGTAAACAATATTATAATTTTAATTCAATTACCATTCACACCCATTAAATTCAAATGCAACACTTCATAAAGAGCAAATCAAACAAATAGTGCAATGCAAAAGTCCACAAGCATGAAGTTGCACACACGCAAAACGAAAGACTTAAGCAACGAACGTGCACGCAGACAAATGCAGTCAAAGGCGACGCCGCCGTCGTCATCGCTGCTTATGCTGCTGCTGGTGCTGCTGCTGCTGCTGCGATACGTACAACAAAACGTGTATTAATAAGCAGCGGGCCGAAAAGCAACAAAAACAAAATACACATAAAAATAAAACAAAAACAAAAGCACACGGCAAAAGCAGCCTAAACAAAATGAAGCGGATGGCAAAAAGAGCAGCAAAAAGAAGCAGCAGCAGAGGCAGAAGCAGAAGCAGCGACGACAACGACGTAGACAACAGCGGCGGCAGCGGTGGCGGCGGCAACAGGCAGAAGAAAAACGTTGAAAAAATGTACAAGTAAAACCGAATTGTTTCCCACGGCATACGATTTTGCCGGTCAACATTGATGGCTAAAACGAACGAACGAGCGAGCGAGCTGGCAAGCCAAGGCAGCCCAGCCAGCAAGACAGACAGAGAGACAAACAGAGGGACGCACAGACAGACAGGCAGACCCACCGACTGTCGGTGAGTCGTCGTGGCCGTCGTTGTCGTCGTCGGAGGCAAAGCAAAAGGTGTAAGCAACGACGCCAGGTGAAGAAGCGGCCCAACAACAACAGCGACTCTACTGCACTACAGACGCCAGCCATATTGAAAGAGCGCAAAGAGAGAATGAGCGAGAGAGTGCACGAGCAGCAGAGAGCAAGTTGCCGCAAAACGGCGCATAAGCCCCCAAGGCAATAACAGTTTAGCGCGCACAGAACATTTGTCAGCTGGTGTGGAGGCTCCAACGAATCAAAAGAGCAGCAAAAAAGCACAAAAAGAGCAAAACGTGACTTAAAAGTGAATTGGAGTGGTATTTGTTGTTGTTGTTGTTGCTGTTGTTTTTAGTGCTTTTACAAAGTGCAGCTGGCAGCTGCTATTGATGCTGCTGAGAGCAGCTAAGAGAGAAAACTTGTTTTGAACGGCGCTTTAAAGAAGAAGAGCAGCCGAACAGACACGGCTTTAAGCGCATGCGCAAAAAACAACAACAAAAAATTGATAGCCGATCAACGCGCAGGCGCAGTTGCAAAGATGCTGCGTTGATGCTGCCGCTGCTATTATTGTTTATGCTATTGTTGTTGTTGTAGTTTTTTTGTCGACTGCATTAATAAAAACTTGCAAAAGAAATGTTAGAAAAAGCAATAAGCGGAAGGAAGGTTAGGAAGAGGCAGGAGTGTAGATCTTGGCTGCATTTTTTTTTGTTTTTAAACAGAGTGTAGCGTAAAAGTTGTTGCTTTTTGTTTGAAGAAAGTTTCAGGTTAGCGTGCATATTAGATATGCAACACTTTTTTTGTTATTATTATTTTTTTTTTGTTTTGGTTTGGACCGCCTAACAGAGTAAAAAGCATGCAAACAAACAAAAAGCTTTAAGCGCGCACAAACAAAGGCACAGCAGTTGTCAAAATATACGTACAAAGAAAATCAATTTGCATAACACCAAAACATTTCCACATGCTGGGAAATTGGGTGTCATTGATAAGTGCAACGGCATGGCAAACAAAAGATTTCGTAAAAAAAAAAAACAATTTGACAGTTGAATATTTTTCACTTTTTTCACACACTTGAAATAAATGTTAAGAAAAATGTTAAAATGCACGCGCCCACCCTTATATTGGTTTTTATGTTCAAATAGAGATAGATCTTAAAGTTCCCAATGGAGGGAATTATTGGGAAATTTGTTAAAAACAAATTATTTACCTTGCCTTAACCAAAAATTAATGAAAATTAAATCAGTTCTTGGGAATTTTGTGATCATTTGCATTGTTTTAATCTCAAAAATGTATAAATATACTATGATTCGTTATAATTCTTGTCATATCTGAAATTTCTCACTTGGGAATATTGTGGTAACATATTGCTTGCATTGCTCAATCTGAAAAATTATGAAAATATACACCTGGTTATAGTTCTTGCCTTCAACTATGAACTTTATTACGCTTGAAGACCCTTTGGGCACACATAAATAAAAACTGGTAGTCATCAAGAACTTGAAAGCAGAAATGCCAAAGCTAACAGCTATCCCAAGACGGACAGAGTGGACATTTGGACGCAGATAGGCACTTGTTAAAAGTGTTAGAAAATAGTGCGTTGCATTGTTTACCTTTTGCTTGAGTTAGGAGAGCAGCAGCAGCAGAAACTTGCTGTTGTTTTTACGAGCCATTGTAAATTTATACGTACTTTAAAGGTATGTATTCGTATGTGTGAATAGATGTGTGTACGTACTGCTATTTTTAAAGGGATCGCTCAAGCTTGACGACTAGTTAGGCCGACTACCTCGACCTGCCAGCCCGTTTACTTGGCTGTTTCTTTTTTTTTTTGCCATTTCTGTTTGCGTCTTCCACGTCAACTTACGTTGACTGACTGACTGACAGTTTGATGTTGTGGGTTAAAGCTAACACACACACACACACTCTGACACACACTAGCACTTGCATAAATTCTTCAACAAACTAGACATTAAAATGTATGAACACACGCATTTTATTTTAATGTTATTTCTTTGTCTTTCTCTCCCGCTTCTTTTCCCTACAGGTGTTTGTTTTACTTTTTTTGTGCTGACAGAGAGTGCCCCTTTTGATTGCCACGTTTGTGTTTATTAATAAATTAAATGCATCATCATAATCAACCGTTAAGTTGGCAAGCTCGCGCAACGGCAAACTAAAACAGTTATAAGCGCAAGTGAATCATTGCGTGGGAGCGCCCTCTCCTCCATTTCTAAATTGCAATTAATTATGCTATAAAAGATGGCAGAGAACAGACGAAGACGACGACAACGACGACAACGACGACGACGGCGGTGTGGTTGAGAATGGATGGATGGAGATGGAGGAGAAAGAGAAGAGAAGAGCGTCTACGTCATTCATAACTCTGCCAATACACACACCCACACAAACACACTCTGCATTCATTCACTCATTCATTCATACAATCATTCCTCACTCCGTCACATGCTCAATGTTAATATAAAAATTGCATAAACGTAGCAGCGACAGCAATAACAATGAAAAGAGCAACATGTGCTGAGTAGAAGAAAAATGCAAGACAAGCACACAAGTACGGTTACTTGATAGTTAAATGAAATTAGCGCTACATGAAAGAGCAGAGCCGAGTAAAGACGAAGATGATGAGGCATGGAGGGACATAAATGCAAGAATTATGTTACGGTAAGTTGACAAACTAATGCAGCATATTTCATTGTTGGAATCATTTTAGAACGTATTTGTGATATTTTGAATAGCATTTGAAATCTTCTAAATTAATGAGAATGAAACATGGGGGAAGAAATGGATAAGTGGTGAGGAAAAGAGGGAAAACATACAGAATAAAAATTGAGATTCTGCATAATAATTATTTGATAATGGGCTACTGGATTAGATTTTATAAAATGATCCGAGTTAATGGGAAATACATGACGATGAATGAAATGAGAAATACATGCATGCTTAAGATAAAAGATTCCTACAAAATAGAGTGTTCAATATGTGATTTTTTTTATTTATTTAATTTTTATCTTTGAAAAATGAAAATGAAAAAAGTTTCAGTTTTATCTCTGAACATCATTTTTATCGAGTATTAGAACTACTTTAAACAATCCAAGTATTAGTAATAACTTTTCGCACCTCAACACAACAAAATTAAGTAATAAACTTAACGTATTGAAATTTCCTCCCCTGAAAAGTAAAACTTTAAACTGTTCCAATTAAATCGTCACTCTCCACACACTCCACACAACAGCTGCACTTTTCTTTTAAATACAAAATTAAGACTTGCAACATTTCAGCTGCTCGGGAGCCAAACCTCCTGCAGCTTGAAAGACTTCTTTTAAAAAATTGGTTGTTAAAATTAGCAGCAAACTGAAAAGAAAAAATATAAAATAAAATAGCAGCCTGCATACACGTCACTAAAAAGTATAGCACGCAACGTGCCAAAGTCGAGTCCTGAGCCCCAGACACGCACACACACATACAAACAGACACACACACACGTACACAGCACACTGGGATGCTGATCAATGAAAGCAGATGGAGGAAGAAAAAATTGTGCATGAGGCGACATCGAGCTGTGAAGATCGAGGCGCATGTGTCGTCGACGACTTGACTTGACTTCAGCTTCATCGACGCGGCGCGACGCTGCCGGCAACAGCAACCGAGGCTGCGACGTCGTTGTTGGCGCAGCCGCACGTTGACCTACGCATCGCACCCAAAAGCGCATGCAAAAATAAAAAAATTGACATAAAACAACCGTACGGCAGATGTTGCTGAAAAGTTGTATATTGAAAAAGTGTGTGTGTGTGTGTGTGTGTGTGTGTGTGTGTGTGTGGAGGCAAAGTTCTTCAACATATTTTATTTTTGCCTCGGCATGCGCCGTTGGTGGTAATTTTTAATGTGTGTTGGCCTATGGCTAGGCTATATAATTTTTATAATATTTTTTTTTTTTTTTTTGACCTGTTTGCCAAATGCCTGCCAAGTCAAAACTAGTTTTTGTGTTCCTTCTTTTATCTAACAGTTGACTGACTTGTTAAAGGGTGGCCGAAAAACCACCCCTCCTCAGTCAGCATACATACATACATACATATATAAAATATATATAAAGTCTGCTCTGTGCAGTCGTTATGCTGGTTTGCTCAGCTGTTTTTAGGCAGGGCTGTGGTGTGGAGGGCCGCCTCAGGATCAGAATCTCAGATTACGCGCATTTGCGCTGTGTAATCAAAAACAAATGTTGGAAATTTATTTCAATTCGACACTAGAATGCACGAAAACACAATTTGAATTACTTTAAAAAATGTAAATTATAACAAAGAAAATAGTGTTCTCAAAACCTAGGCAGAAGCGATTTTTTGTGGATCTGATAGTTATTATAATTTTGTTAGATTATTTTTTTAGGGGAGGTGAGAAATTTAATTCTTAATTCTTGTCAACTCTCCAGGAAAAGTATTCAAGTTATAGCTATAATTTTTCAAACTTTATAAATTGTAAAACTTCTTGTTTATTAAATTTGTAATGTTTTTCAAATCAAAAATGTTTAAATTAGCTATGATTAAATAAACTAAGCTTTATTTTTTAAAAGTTTTTATCAGTTTTAATGCTATTTTTAAAATTTAAGTTAAGCAAAATTAATTTCATACTATTTGTTAATTATTTACAAAATTTGTTTGAAAACCATTCTTCTTTTTTCGTGTTAGACAGACACAGATCCATTAATTAAAACGTGCCTATTTTCTTATTCTATTCTCAAGAAACAAGCATTAATTAGTAATTACTCGATTTGTTAGTCGATCATTTACACACACACACACACACACACACACACACACACACACACACACACACACATGCTCTCTCAATCATAATTAGTTGCTGAACATGCCGTTTGGTCAAACTTTCAATTAAAAAGCTCAATGCTGGCAATGCCTCTCTAACGAACACACACACGCACGCACATAAACATATGTACATACGTATGTATGTGAATGCAACTACAAATCAGCAAGCACGCAAAGAAGCGCGAATATCAGCAAAGTTGCCAAAAAAAAATAATAGCTAAGAAACAACTCACAAAGAGGATTGATAAGAGTAGGAAGGGAATAGGAAGAGTAAGACTCACCTGCACAATGACTGTGAAGCAAATGAATGCTGTCAATAAACACTTTATCCAATGCATGTTTATTGTTGGTGTTGCTGCGGTTTTTGGTGTAATAAATAAATTGTTGTTGTCGTTGTTGTTAGAGTGTAAATGTGTATGTTGTTGTTGTTGTGGTCGTGGTGGCGTGTAATAATCCTGTTCGGCGGCTTGTGGTTGTTGTCGTTGTTGCACTACACACACACACTATTTAGCCAACAATTAAATATGTTTATGATATTGTTGTTGTGTTGTTGTTGTTGTTAAAACGCAGCTAGCTGCGGCACATGGTTTTGCAATTTGTTATTGTTGTTGGCATTTTCTAGCTAAAATTTGTTTTCTTTCTTATGATAATTTTCTTTCTCTTCCTACACGTGCATGCTCCACATTGCGGTTATAGTTGTTGTTTTATTGGCGGGCTGTTTATTTTATTTGAAGTACGAAACGATAGATAGACACACACACAATTCCAGAGGAGAGGAGGCACACGTACGGCACGGCGCCTTGTCACTCACGCACGCACGCGTGTGAGTTATGTTATGCGGCGGGGGTCGGTATCGGAGTGCCTAACTAAACTAACGGTTTATGCCAAAGTGCTCTCTATACGTATGCATGTATGTATGTATGTATATAAAAAATGAGAAACACATGCAAGCTATGTGTATTTCACACTATTTTTATTTTTTGTATATTTATTTCGAATTATTCAAAATAGCATTTGAATAAAGCAGTCGAGCAACGTTTTTTCTAAAAGCTACCAGAAAAGCAGAACTCTGCATTTGCAATTTTTTATAAATATTTGTGAATTTATTTCTTTGCTTTCTTTTTGGCTGGCAGCTTCTTTTTTATATAAATTTTTTGCACACTTTTTTTTACATGCTTGTTAATTTTATTTAAATTTCTTGATGCACATTTTAAATAAATTTGAATAAAATTTGTTTACTTCGTACGACGCGAGTTCGCCTGCTGTGCTATGCAGTGTTTGGTTGTTCGGTGTTGTGTGAGTTTTGTTGAAACTATAAAAATTTGAAAATATTGTTGTACCGCCGCGCGACAACGACCAACGATGTTCACGACGTAAGCAACAAAACGAATCTGCCGTTAGCGTCGCGCTGTAAACGCAATGTGAGGGCCGACGAGACCGACGTCGCTGTTTCGGCCGGCAGAGACAGCGCGAGACCGGGGTTGTTTCGTTGTTGTTGTTATGCTAAGTGTTGCTGTTGTTGCTAAGTTGAGCGCGCAGCCTGCGCACGTGTGTGTGAGCGAGACCACTGCTGTGGCATTTATGTTGCATTTGCGTGCATTTTGTTGTTGTGCCAGTGCGTAATTTAAGAGAGTCGTTCTCTTTATGGTGGTTGCTCACAGCAGCTGGTGAGTCAAAACGCGTTTTTCGTGCTTATTTAGTGTGTTTCAGGACCCACTGTCTCTACTCTCATATGTTGCAGCAACTTTGTTGCCAGTGCCACAGGCAACATGCTGCTAAGCTGAATTCAAATAACGAGACTAGTTTGAATTATTTAAAAATTATTTTATGCGTGAAAGTAGATACATAGTAAGCCCTTTCTTTAATGTAGTATTTTTATAGCATATTTAAGCAAATTTTACGCGCGCATTTTGTCTGACCGGCACAATTACAAAGTAGCCCTTGCGCTGAAAAGGGTTGTTTTCGGCAGAGATAGGCGGCAGGAAATTCGCATAAAAGGATTTCTTTTTTTTTGTGTGTGTTAAGACTCTTTATGGCTGCTCCGGCAACATTTGCATGTGAAAGGGCTGACTGGCCATACCGATCCATTGCACAGTTTTTGGCGCCCAAAAATTTGGAATAAAAGAAAAGTAAACTTAAACAAACTACAGATGTAGATACAGCTACACACATATACTTGTACTTATGTATATGAGTGCATTATGTACATTAAGTATGTATGCCTTGCAAATGGATTTTAAATTGTAGTTAAGATCATCAAAAGGGGTGAGAGTTGGAGTTCCAGTGCCAAATTTATATTGTATATATATGTATATATATTATAATTGGAATGGAAAGAGCTTGTCCAGATTCATTCTCTAAAATGCCTTTTCGTTTGTGATTTTGAGGCAAGTGCATAAATTATTAAAAAGGAACAACATTTTTGAAAAAATATGGCTCTTAGTCTATTCGACTCCTCTTTAAATTCTGTAAACAATCTATAAGACAAATATTTAAAGTCTTAAAACAATCTATTATAAGGCTTTTGAATTTGTTTTTTAAAAATTTTATTCGCTCGAATTATAGAGACAAACACTGTTTAAAAATGGACAGCAAAATATGTTTTAAAATATGCACAAAAAAATACACAAAATTGTTCCGATTAAAAATATGTTTAAAAATATGAAAAAAAAAAATGTACAAACAAAATTGTTTAGATAATTACAGCGATTTCCCCAAGTCTCAAGTTGTTCATTATTAGTGGGAAGGTGCTCCCTTCACCCGACACAGTCACTACTTTTACTGACATTTCATAAAAGGTATCAAGAATCTCCTCTTGATTAAAGCATTCCCCTTTGTTATGCAAAAAATAAAGATAGCATCAAAGTTTTATGGCAATCAGGAATTAATGTTCATCATGAAGGCTGAACCAATTATTAAAGCAAGGAAAAAAAAACCTGAGTAAATAAATATTTTAAGCATAACAATTCAACGAATAGCATCTTCTATACTGCGTGCATCCAAAATATTTGAATCTGAATCTAAAATATTTCTTTATTCCAATATATATTCCAAAGTATGAAAAGTTTCTACAAAAATATCTAAAATTAAAACTTCTTTAGCTTGTTTATTTATTTTTAATTTGATTAATTATTTGATTTATTTATTTTATTATCATAAAGGCACAGGCATTAAACGTGCTTTGTCCTGTTTTTTTTTTTTTTTAACGATTTCATAGACATATCATAGTTTTATCATAAGTTTTTTTACTTTTAAGGATCTGTCAAGTGAATTATAATAACACTATTTAACGCATTATATTTTGGTTGCCAAAGTCCCCCTCCACGACTCCCCAAAAAGAATTCAGCTTTTTGTGAAAAATGAAATTTCATTCCTAGAAGAATGAGTTGAGAGCAGTGTTGAACAATTCTTTTGAGTCACACGATCATGCGATATATGATTGTTATAGTACATCGGCAGCTTTGTTTGTCGGCGAATAAATAAGTAAACTTAAATGACCAGTGTTGTATAATTCAAATAGACAATAGAACAGATGCAGGAGTTTTTCTAGAACAATTGAAGTATAAAGTTCCTGGCAAAACAGTATTCGACCTTTTCTTGTAAATAAAACTACCAGTGTTGAATAATTCTATTAGGCATAAGAACATTGTCAAATTGTCTTGAAAGTCAGGTGTTTTCTAAAAACAATTCAAATTAAATGCAATTGGGTTCCGTCGACCCCTGTGCAACCACAATCGCAGCAACAACAACAACATCAGGTCGCTCCATTACATATAATATTAACAGTTTATAAAGCTCGCACGTCACCTTTTCGTATTCATTTACCCATACGCCTTCGATTGTCGCCGCCACGCGCCTAATTTTCAAGTTTTTCAAGTCAACCACAACAACAACAGCACGCATTAAGAAAATTACGGAAAACAAAAAGAAAAAAAAAAACGTGGAAGAAGAGGAGGCAAGGAAATAACATAAAGTACTACAAGCGGCTGCTGCATAATTTGGCAGCAACTTGCAACTTTTGAGGCAACTTGTTGGAGTCTTCGGCAAAGTGAAAGATGTTGCTTGTCTGCAGCGAAGGCAGCTCAACATAAAAGCAACAACAACCAGAGGACAAGCTGCAAACTGACCAAAATGTGCGTGCGACGACAGCCATGAATACAAAATTTATAAAAAAAAAAACAAACTGAGAAGGAGAAACAAAAAATACAGTTTTGCATTGGCGACCGCTTCGTGGAGTACATGACCCCAATTTCTTTTGCATGTGTTTCCACTGTAGCAACAACAACAACAACAACAATGAGAAGAACAAGAGCAACAACATTGAACTGCAAGGCGCCCTTCTGCGGTTTGGCGGTGCGGCCGTTTGGGGCACCCTTGAAGGATGATGTATGTGGTGCTTTCAATTTGGAGCAGCAGGACATCTGTTGGGCTCAATAACAACAACAACAACAGCACAAATGACAGACAGAGCGTTTAGCTACAGTGGGTTGAATAGAGATCAACATTTAATAATCATCATTAGCTTTTTATGGGGGAAATTTTTATCGGAAAGGGTGTTTATTTCAGCTTTGGGGTGAAGGGAAGAAATATAAAGCCATTGTCCGACAGAAAAGTAATATAAACAACCACAGGACACACACGAAATGCAATTAGTTAACGTTTCACGTTGACACATTTACACAAGTAAAACAAATATTATTTACTAAATCAAATCACTTAATAGAAATTTGAAAAAATTGGAAATTTCTGAATGTTATTCAGTGAAACAAAAGCTATTGGAAGTTGAAAAGATTAAAAACGAATAATAATAAGTGTTGTAAAACGATTAATAAGTTATGAAAACAAGTTGGCAAATAAGATATCGATAGGCAATGTTTGTGGTAGCAAAGAGTGAAGTTGTTGCCGACAACTAATTTATTAAAACTATAATAAAATACGTAAAGTACGTACATATATTTAAATTAAAAGATTATAATAATAGAGTAATTTAAAACGACTTTGTTTCATCAGTCTTTCTTCATTATCATCTTCTGTTCCTTAGTCTTTATTTGATACATACGTGTAGTGATATCTACACTTTGCTTCGCTAGTCTTTCTTCATTATCATCTTTTGTGTTAGTTTTTATTTAACATATAGTTTTCATTAATTTCCTGTGTTTTATCAAAGAACACTTGTTTATTTTAGTCTTCAAATTTTGCTGCGCTCTTTTCAATTAATTATATATATATACAAGTATGTTGAGCATATTGGTTTCAAACTTAAATTTTGTCTGATGGTGTAACAGATTCTAAATATTTTTCTATTGAGTTAATAATTAATAGGATTTACGCCAATGTATCAATGCTATCATACTAGAAATAGCTAGTGGGGTCTTCTTAGCTGAAATAATTTTCTATTAACTTTTAAGCGAGATATATTATAAATAAGTAATCATTGGAAAATTCGAACTCCGAATGGGGACAAGTTGGCTTTGTATGATAAATCTGAATTTTTGATTCGTTCAACTTCAAACTTGGTTTGTGTGCTCTAAAAAGGAATACAAAATAAACTGCATTTGAAGTATATTTGAAATTTTTCCTAGAGTATGATTTATGTATGTATGATTTTTCTTGTGAGCCATAAATATAATACTAAATGCATTAAATACATTCTGATGAAATAAACCATTAAGTGGGCCAGAATGTTAAATTATTTTTGGTTTTCTGTAATATGATTTTGATTTTCTTATATACAAACGTAGGAGTTTCCAAATTCTCACCGTGTTAGGCAGTAAGTGGAATATTAGCCCGCAAGATTGAAACATGTTTTGTAAAAGCCTGAGCTGTAATTGAAATTCTAAATGAGTAGACAGACCTAATTATAACACAAAAAACGCTTAGAGGTATAAATAAAATAGATCTAACCTTCTTTTATAGTATTTAAGACTCTGCACGGAAATTTTTCAGCAGCTTCCAAAAAGGATGAATTCGAATAAAAATTATTTTTAC